CTTATTATTGACAGTTTTTTTTATCACATATTCTATGCCTTTAGTCACTGATCTTTCTTAGGCGTATGTATGTGGATGGTAGGGAGGGAATTACAATTCAAATCATTTCTGAATTTAAATGCTACTCTCAGAAAGTATATGTAAGATACACTTTGCTGGAGAGTACTAACAAGTACGAAACTAGCACAGCTTTCTATTGATTGCCTCTATTCGTGTAATATCACTCAAAATGAGTTATGATTTGTAGTCTCCTAACCCGGTGATTACATTACAACATAGAATTTAGTCAACACTGAGGAAGATACAACATAAAACTGATCAATCAATGTGTACACCTCAATTATATTAATTGGAACAAAGCTTATTCAGTATGTTATTGATTGGTAAATTAGTAATACACAATTGTTTTTCATTTCAACTAGGAAATGTGTGAACGAAGCTTGATTACAGACTATTATAGAATTTATACTGGGTAATGATTGAAGGTGAGATGAAAATCTTGATCACTGCTGGATTCAAACCAGTGACCACTGGGTAACCGGCTCGATGCGATGCTGCCCGGTCAGCAGTCGGACCTCGTAGCTCAGTTGGTATCTCATTCAACCAATTATCTCGTTAACTATGTTTATAAGCTAACCAATAGTTGCTATGTCATTCATTTCATAATTAAATTGTTCTTTAATAAATAATCAAGAACCTATCACCCAACAAATGTACACAAGAAGAAAGTGGAGATGGATTTGGCATACACTGAGAAAGCCATTCGGAGACATCACAGGCCAGGCCAGGTACTCGAGTGGAATCCAAAGGGGGAAACGACTAGAAGAGATCATGTCACGAAGAAACGAAAGCTTGTGGGCTGTTGTGGAGCCAGGTTGAAAAGACTGGAGAGAAGAGAGTGGAATGGAGACGTGCTACTGAATCTGTATGTTCCACTAGGAACCCGAGGGACAAATAAATAATAATAATAATAATAATAATAATCAGAACACTTTACAACAGAACTAGGCACTTATGTTCTGCGAACAAGTTAAAGGTAGAAATAGACATTATTGACAAGTATCCCGAAGAGAATGAAGTATGGAAAAGAAGTCTTTTATACACCTTACACTCAAACAAGGTTCAGTAACCAAGGAAATAGACTCAAGAAACCAATAAGCACTTAGAAGGAGATTTCCTGCAGCTAAACTTATATCAATATGCAATACTCCAACCGTATCTACGAATTCATAGGCACACGTGGTAACATGGAAATTGGATGATATGAGAGAAGGAGCGCATCCCTTTGGTTGACTGAATATATACCCAAGAAACTGTGCGCTTGAAGTGAAGTGATATTTTAACCAGTACAATTGTCAGATACAGGACATCAGGTTGAAACATCCTATCCTTGTAAAATAATAAACTTACACAGAATATTTGGATTAGTGTGTTTCACTGAAGAGATTGTAATAAAACACTTTCAACTTGACTTCTACACACAGAAACAGAGATGTGATTAATCTCTTCTTTCCTTAGTGAAAATGATTTCATCATGTTTCCTTTCAATTACGTAACACTTTATTTATTGACTAGTGTTGTTCCTTTCTTACATTCCTTACCTCATTGTACACTTAATTCCCTTACATTATTATATAAATTATCTTTGATTTTGTTGTACAACTTATCATCATTATTATGATTATTTGTCCCTCGGATTCCTAGTGGAATATACAGATTCAGTAGCACATCTCCAGTGCACTCTCTTCTCTACAATCTTTTGAACCTGGATCCACGACTGCCCACAAGCTCTCATTTCTTCCTCACACCATCTCCTTCATGTCATTCTCACCTCGGAAGCCCAACTCATCGTTTCCCATCTGGGTCCGACTCGAGTGCCTGACCTGGCGCGTGATGTCCCTGAATGGTCTTCTCCGTGTATGCCTACTTCTTTCTGCATATTTGTTGATTGATAGGTTGCTGGTTGGTTCATTGACAGCCAGCCAAAGTTCCGTGTTGCTTATTTTCATTATTCTGGCCATCTGGTCTCATCTTCAGTATCAAGTGAGCGTAGGTGGCAGTCGTTGATCAATGTCTGTAATGTGTTGGAAATGCCTTTCGTAACTCACCAAGTTTCTGAAGCACTGACTCTTGACGTTGGTGTTGACAATACGTATCTTGTTCACGCTTTATGCTGAGTGGAGTGCAGAAGTTCTCCACACTGGTTTCAGGTTAACGAATGCCTGTCTTGCTTTTCCAATCCTGGCTGGCTTTGACGTCCTCGTCTGGGCCTGTGCCGCCTGTAGTTCAAACGATGCGGCCCAGATAGGTGAAAGAGGCTACTTCCTTTAAGTTTCTCCCGTTGATAGTGATTGGAGCTCGTTGTTGTTGTTGTTGTTGGTTGGGTATCTTCATCACCTCTGTCTTCTCTACATTCACTGAAGTCCCGTCTTCGCTGCCTCTTCTGTCAACTATTTGGATTTTGCTTGTAGATCTTCGAGTTTGTGTGACATCAGACACAACTCATCGACGAAATCCAAGTCTTCTAGGATTTTTTCCCAGTCCAGCGTATGCCCATCTTCTCACTCCTCACACTTTGTTGCATGATCCAGTCGACTACAATCAGTAAGATCATAGGTGATAGTAGACAGCCTTGTCTTACTCCTGTCACCTGTCTTCACTTCAAAGGCATCACTGATCTTCCCATTGTGAATTACTTGGCTGGCATGTGGCGTCTTCATATAGTTGTTGAATGAGGTTGATAAAGGCTTGTGATATTCCGTAGTGTTGAAGCAGTTTCCAAATTACTCTCGTTCGACGCTGTCGAAGGCCTTTTCAAAGTCGATGAACTTGAGGCAGAAGGTTGACTATTTTGATTAGCTTAAGTTTAAGCTGATAGGATAGAAACTGTTGTGGTTAAGTTACTGTCCAGCCTGTCTGTCATTTCTATGGATGGTCTTTTCAACCTTACGATCAGTGCTTCTTTTACATTGAGGTTCAAAAAGGCTGAACCCTTTGTCATTGACTATAGTCCATTGTACATTTATTGTTGGAATGAGCTTTGTTGAGCTTGCTTGTTAAACTACTCACTTGCCTGTTTTCTTTCTTACATTTCTTACCCCTCTGTACACTTAGTAGTTCTCTTACAGATTAATATGGTTTATGAATAATTTTGTTGTACAATTGAAGTTTATTGATTTGCTTATTTTGAAATATTTTATACGCAGATGACTTCAAAGTCCACCTTAGCAACTGTTAGAACAGCCAATCACGTTTCGGTATTTCGGCTATTAATTTAGATTTTCATAATTGCTGAGTCATAATTGGTTTTTATAACAGTTGCTAAGGTAGCCTTTAAAGTCACTCCCATAGATAGGCCAACTGACAAAATAACCAATCAGGTTGCGGTATTTCGTCTCGGCGACCATTTTCATCGAATAGAGAAAGATGATTGGTTGTTCCATCAGTCACTCTATTTGGGGTGACCTTAAAGGCCACCGTAGCAGCAATTGAAATAACCAATTACATTTCTCCATTTTATGAAAATCTACCTTTCCAGCCGAAATACAGAAAACTTATTGGTCATTTCGACTTTTGCTGGGGTGGCCTTTATAAAGTCCCCTTCTTATTCTACCTGTGTGATAATGTTTATCTGGTATACCCTGTGTCATGTATATATACAAGTGAATTATATTCCTACGACGTGAAGTAATTCACAAGAATGAAATTACATCCAGTTATGTCGGAACCATACATCATACGGAAGTGAGTTAGGAGTCAAGCTATGTAATAATAACCCTCAATAAGTTTCAGTGAAATGCTTTTTAAAATCAATCGAATTAAATCACCGTTCATGCTTATCTGTGATTCTCGTTTTCTTTTCATTGGACAGTAAAACAGCCTGAGATTTTAGCTTTTTATGTATCTGTCAATGATACAATTAGAGATAATATAAATATCCAGGGTGACAAGTAAGGAAAATAGAAGATTCCCTTTAAACATTTCGGTTCATATTACCATAATCTAACCAACGACGTATAGGCAGGTTAATAAGTGAGTGTACAGCATTCATCGGTTGTTATTGAGCACTTGAAGCGATGAAACTTATATCTCCCCTCCTAGTTATGACAAAGCAATCTTTGGAAGCAGTCACCGACAGATTTTTTTCATCTTTCCAATTGTCTACTAATCACTCAGGAAGTAAAAGCTTCAATATCTGCTATCTACCATTTCATTGCAGTGGGATAACACCTGGTAGTACTTAGAGGAATGCTTGTAATATACAGCCAACCTGAGCTAAGGATAACTCAGTTCTAGCCCTCTATATCATTGCTGCTTAGGTGGTAACGGTACATACTCAGGACTTTGATGTATACTGTTTTCTTGCGTATACAGAAGCCAAGCTTATCATCGACAACGTTGGATTGACCCAAGAAACTGAGGAAACTTTGAAAGACAAAAGAATGACAATAGTATTAGTATGAAAAATTAAAAAGGTTGCATCCAGCTGAGATATTGGGATTGTCAATAAATTACCCTTGAAAATTCCACATTGAATCATTTCTCTTACTTATCATAGTGTAAAAGTGTACACTGATAGATTTCAGTGGTTATTAATATGAAGTTTGTATACTTACAAGCAAGATCAGTTATGTAACAGATCAAGAAACCACTTTGTGTGTATCCCTCAAACAATAAAACTTGACTACTCGTAGACATAACTGCAATCATAGTGTCTTATGACCTCTATCATAACCAACATCATCGATTATCTGTCAATTTATACTCATCAGTACATTTCTTATCCAATCAATAAATGACAGCTTGTTGCTGGGCACAGAAAACAGTTCGAATCTTTAAGCATCACTTTTAATGGTTCCATAAACAACATTATGCAGTGAAGTCACTATAGTTTATTCACTTTTTTTCGTCATCTAGTATGGTATAACAACGTTCGCTAGCAAAGATTTATGTTTCCAAAACTTAACAATATGATAATGTGTATACAACACTCAACTTACCTCTTCAACATGCCATTCTGTTTTCCATTGAGGCATACAATTTGGTATTTTAGTTAACATTGTAGTAACAATTTGACTAGCAGCATCATTCCACAACTTATTTGTACTAGATGATGTTAACCCCATAAATGTTATATGCGCTAGGAGAAGTTGTCTACGATCTGGTTGGTTGTCATTCTCTAATCCAACACCCATTAGACGACCATTTGTAGTACCTCGGGTAAATTGCACACGTAGACCAAGATTGACTGAGAAATTGTTCACTCCATTTATAAGTTGATCACCGGTTATTTTGTGTAGAACATCAAGAATGGTATAAATTGCCTAAAATAGTTAGATGTATTTGTGAAAGAGACGAAATACTTGTATGTAGACAAACAGATAGATAAATTGAAGTAAAACTTTGCAGAGGACTGGGTTACTTCAAGTTGGCACACACCACAACAGCGTATAAACAGTTAATGGATCAAAAAAGGATGACCTTCAAGTCCACAAATGGTGTATAAGAGAAGAGAGAATAACTATACGCAGGCAGGTTATAACGATTGAACGTACATGAAGTTGACAGGCTGCACCTTCCTACACTCCGAAGATTTCTTAGTCTGGTCATCTAAAGCTTCCTTCTTGCATAACTTCACTCCGGCCAACCGCATACATTGAGGTACGATGAGTATCCAAAAGGAAGTGATGTAAATAAACCGGTATTACTTAACTAAACTAGAACCTCTTAAACGAGTAGAACGACCATTCAGTGTTTAGACAACTTTGAACTAACAAATTGGCAAAATCCTACACATCAGCCTTAATGGTTTCTGACTACTTATCAAGTTATTCAGTAGCAGTATATTTCGCTAGTTTATGACACTTCTGCCTCAAAATCACAACTTATGTTCTTGACTGACAGGTGTAGTTTTCAGTGAAAACCTTGTTGAGACCATAGGTGGATAGCAGTTGAAAAACTATTCAGCTGTGAAAAATGTCAAGGTGAATTGTACAATTTGTAAATCATTTGTAAATTGATCATTCTATTCTGGAAATAATAGTAATAATAATAATAATAATAATAATAATAATAATAATAATAACGATAATAATAATAATGGTTTTATTCCGAAAGATATTTCGAGAATACTGTACAGGATTTTCAGCATGTCATATAACATCAGTTGGAGAGACACAGTATACATGTATATATAGCAAAATGAATTGAGTATAAACTGGATATAAAAAAGATCAAAATATTCACTCCATCTACAACTTTCTTGAAAATGGACAGTTAATTCAGGTAGGCAATCACATTAGTGATTAGATTCATAATACATAAACAGTAACATACTGTGTACTGATCAATTAGTTTGCTTTCAAAAAACAGAAGTTGATTAGTGTAACTTCATTTCGAATACTTTCTTCACCACATAGAAGAGGAGCTAAATACGCACGGTATTGTAGAGTTTTTATATTTTGTAGTGCGTGCATAGAGTCTTATGTACACTTGCTCCTTGTCTTTTCAGATGGACCAACAAGCAGACAGCTTTAAGTGAAGAGGATACTGGTCATCTGATAAAATAACTCCTCACAGATGTTTACATCAGTTAATATGTTTGTCCACGACTGTTTTAACTAGAAGGTTTAGAAATACACCACTAGTTCTGCTGACATATTTCAAAGTTCTACGTAATATAGCATAGTCGTTTCTTCAGCAACCTCCACCAAAAGAATAAGGCAGAACAATAGAGGAGAATGGGTAAGATGCAGGAATTTATAAAATACAATAGGAGAGGCTGAGTTACGCCTAATATAGAAAGTTAGGCGGAAAATTCTTTTGAAAGTTAGTAGGAGATAGGAGAACCAGGAAAGGTTCGAAGAGAAACACACACCGAGATAAATGACACTTAGAACATTCTCTCTCTAATGCACAACCATCAATAAAACAAGAATCATGAGAACTGAGCAGTTTACACAGGTTATGCTCACCTCTGAAACTAAAAGATATGGTACGACATTTTGAAGAATTAAGCATATGAGTATTCACAGAGGATTATCGTCAAACAGTAGATAGAAAATCATTCAGCTGGGAACAATCTACTGAAGAGGAGATAAGTATGGCAGTTGTTAGTTCATCAACATGTTTGATAAAATTGATACTAGCTGAAGATGGTAAGTCATACAGAAAGAAAGAGGAAAGACAGGTGGAAAGGACAACTCCTTGGGGAACACCAGTCACAGTAAGTGATGGGATGGAGCACTTCCCTCTGTGAACAGTATATTGGTTCTTATTAGAGGAATAAGAATGTAGCTAGCTGATTATCCAGCACTCAGTATTTGTCCCCTTCAGCTTGTCCAACGAAAGAGACCAAGTGCCGAAGTATGGTCCAAAAGGTCACCCTTGAAATACTTGGCATTTTTATCAAGACTGTAAGCAATATCGTGATATGACAGAGTGATGGGTCTCCGAAATCCTTCAGTGAGGGCTCAAACACATGTATTATTAGCTTCTCCATTATTTTTAAGAACGGAGAGGTAACTTCAATTGGATAGAATTTTGTACATGTGTCTGGAGTTTTAGACTTAGGTACGGGGATTATCTTAATCATCTTTCCAGGCAGGTAGTATGGTGTTTTTTTTAAAAACGATCTGTTGAACATGTTAGCTAATAACAGTCATAACTTTGAAAAGTTTATCAGATAATTTTGAATACTTAAGTATAATTACATGCAACCGATCCGTAGGAGAAGTTACTGAATGGTAGCAGGGATAGACTATAGAAGTTGAAAGGAGTGGATGACCAATGAACAGAATGATATAAGAGAGTAGAAAGTGTTAAAGAACTATACTGACTACAATTTACACACTGGACAGCCAAGCAGCCAGCTAGATAGATGACTCCAACTTAGAATGTCGCACATAATTTCATCGGCATAAATCGTCACACTTCACAGTACCCACAAAGAACAAGTGGATAGAAAAAGAAGTGATATCAATATAGACAAAGTTGTGTGAAAGAATAAAAAAATTTTTAGGAGTGAATACATCTGATCCGTTGAGTCTGATTTTCAACCATATCACCAAGAATCTTCAACCAATAATTTCTATCGTCTCCTCATGGACTTAAGCTAGGCAAACGACTTGATTTTCTGTTTTTATTCATGACCATACCTAAAGGCATCTTGATTTCTTCTTCATATGATCGTATTTTGATATGTTTGTCAATTTTATGAGAGTAATCCAATTTGTTCATAACTACTGTTGCATTGCCTTTATCAGACTTAACAATTACTATATTATTATCATTCTGTAGACTATTCAGAGCTGAATTGTCAAGTTTTTTCTAAAGTTCCGCTGTCTTTTCAGTGTCCTTCCGGTGTTAACGCACACTGTGCTCTAACCTGTTCAGCTGTTACTGTATCCACTGAGCTTAACGCTACTTCTATGCTAGATATGATATCTTCTGGTTTTAGATGACCTATTGTATGTCACGTTGAAGTTTAGTCCTTTTTCCAGTACTTTCGTCTCAGCTAAGCTTAAGGTTCTCTACTAGAGACTAACTATCCACTTTGTTCTATCGATGTTTGATGATGTTTCATTTGTAATTTGATTATTTCTGAGAGGGATGATTTTTGGAAATAAATTGGTGAAATGTTTGATTTGACTGTTTCTGGATACTTGAAAGCAACTGATCTTGCTTAATCTGATGTTTGCAGAAGAAATTCATAGTCTCTGGTGTTTACTGTCTTCATAAGTTTACATTTCAGTTGTTCAATTCTATTCCTGATCGTGCTTAACTTCCTGATAAGTAAGATCAGGAATGAAACTAAACCACTTGATTGACCAGCGACAAGTCTTATTCTAGCCATCTTGAACCCTTTTCTAACTTAGTCTAATTTCCTCATTCACTTTAGCCAATGAATAGTGTTTCGTTATCAAGTTGTACATTCATTATTTTCAGCTATTTCTACAGTATTATACACTAGTCACTTGTAATCACACTATTTCAACGAGATTCAAACGAATGTCCTGATTTAAAAACAATATTGATCTAAATCATTCACCTGGATTTTTTTGAGGGATCATTTTAATCCAAGAATGTTTTCACTAGTAAGTACCTAGGAAATCATCTAATACACTATTGTTTCTCCTTTCCTGACCTCTGGCAACTATACTTCAAGACTATACATGATATATACCAGTATACAGTCCACTGGCTTTCTTCATACCCACATACTGAGTTTGAAATAACCATTTACTGGAATTCGGTGCAGTTTTTCAGTGGCTTTAATAGTGTATTAATTACAAAAATTAAATAACCTCAATCTGTGGCTGACTGGTCTAGACAATTGACTTTCAACTCATGAGTCTTGGGTCCGAATCCAGCTCCACCTCCCGAAGTTTGGACAGCCTGGTAGTATAACTATCTAGATAATAGTTGTGGCTCACTACCAACCACCTTCAATGTTTACAAGGTTGCTGTGCGAACTTCATTATCCTAAATTCCGCTGTCTCATAGACCCCAGATAGTCTACACCTCCGTATATGACTCACACCAGCAGTCAAGGATTTTATCGACCGGTAACACATCTTAGTCTGGCCACCATGAACCCTCTTCAAACCTAATCGAACCTACCCTAGCATGGTAGATTGAGGTAGGCGTTGACTCAGTATACGCCAGCAATGCTATGAAAATGTCTATGGTCAAGGACATACAACCTCTTCACACCTGCTTTTAACGGCTGTGTTGGACAGTCATATAAATGGAAAGGTAGCATTTCAACGCAACATACTCGTTCTCTAATAGACATTCGGATATCTTGCCATTAGACACCACAGATGACGAAAGTTTATATGTACTAATCTGGGCTCCTCTATTCCAGTTGAAGTTTCGTCAAAAACTGACGTAACTTCCCAAGTAAGTGGAGTGATTGAATCGTTCCCTCACTTTATTCCAGTCCTGGAGCATCATCTTACAGTTGATATGTGCGAAACGCGTGCAAAACACACTCCAATTTCTGGAGAACATGTTCACAAGACCTTGCATTCATCAGCATCTTCACGTAGCTGGACAGTATCGTATGCGTACTCCAAGTCAATAAAATGCCCTCCAAGGAGTACGTCAATCCCTGTGAATTAAGAGATATCTAAGGTTATATTCATTAGTACATCTATGACGAAATTAAATGGAAAAAGCGACAGTGGGCATCCTTGGCAGATAACAGTAAAAACCTGGTGTCAACTGATAAGACTATTTACTAAGGGTTTCCTATGTAATGATGAGAGTAGATGGTTCTAGGAAATGAGAGAATTGAGAAGGAAACATAACTAACCAATAGTACTTTTAAGGGTGTTCAGTTTCAAAACAGATTAGTCAAAGACCAAAGTTTTGCAAACATGGAAGCAAGTCAACAGTTTACGCTTTGCATAGATGACCATAATGAAGCCAATGTGTTATGGGAGGTCAGTACAGTACATGGCTGTTTTCACACTGTTACTAGTTAATTCTCCCCTCTCATCTCAACCCTGAACTCTCATTGGTCTTTAACTATATGTGGATTTAGTGTTGTCAAGGTCATTTAGGAATGTATATATTCAGCATCTCTGTCAACTGCATTGACTGTTGTTCAGACGGTAGTGTTAGGTCGTAACTAATTGGCCTAGTGAATAACCCTCTGACGTTTAAAGCGAGGAGCATTGACCATCTTGTATCCAGCTACTTGCCATAATCCATCATTACAGTAAATCTATACCTTTAACAGGTGCGTAAACAACATTTAGGACGATGGTGAATCAATTGGCTTATTGTCATACTTAGTTACCTAGTATTTCATTTATCTTTCCATCAAAATTGTGTATAAACTAGTAGGCCATGAGTTGTAGAGTGAATTGAACTGCTTCAACATACAACAATAAGCCTACTGATTAAACTAGACTCATAAAATCCAAACTTCACTTACCAATATAAATTGATTCAGTTCATAGTCTGTTTCCATTGTAAATTTGATTATTCGAAATGGATCTTTAAATTTACCAAATGAATTCAATGCCCATGGTGTATACTGAATAGTTGTTGGTTGTGGACAATACTTATACTTCAGATATTTATGTGCTGTTTTTAACAATTTCGGTGTATTACACGGTTGTTCAATAAATTCATTGATAAATGGTCCAAATACTTCATCTAATAGATAGACAAACTGTTGTGGATCAGAGTCATAATACATAAAAGGATCATCATTCTCATTTTGACTATCCTCTGAGTTAACAATAGCTGTTGTTGTCGCCGTTGGTGTGACAGAAGTATAAGGATTCTCTATAGTCATCTTTGACGATAAACGTTGTGTTGTACGCAGTAATACTTCATCTTGTTGACTATTCCATGATGTTAAGTCCAGTTGTTTATTTGCCTTTCCTTCATTATTATTATTATTATTCACGTCATCATCAATTTCCTTGACAACAGGTGTGTTTTCGTGTAGATTTGTAGCGAGTTTTTTGTTCTTAACAGTAGGACAACTATTGTAAGGTAAGTAAATAAGTTCAATCGATTGATCAGTGGTTAGTGCATTCTTCAGTATAGCCTTCTCACTATCCAGTATATCAGCCCATTTATAAAATTTATAATTCACCTATACAAAAAAACATATTGAAAAATGGTTTGATTCCACTTTATTCCAAGTTGGTTTTCATCATGGACTGACATAAGTTGGAGAAACAATGGAAACCTGGGAGCACTGGACAGCCGTTTCGTCCTAGTATGGGGTCCCTCAACAGTGCACACCCATAACCCCACCCCACCCCACCAGGGGGTCGGACCCAAGATCTTCGGGTTCCGAGGCCAGTAAGTTACCATTGAGCCACTGGGTTCGCGGAATCCAGTGGTCTACATTTCCAGCTTCTTTCAGTTTGCGACATACCGTGACCATCATCAAATGCCATCTTTGAGTTTCCCTCCTCACGTCTACCAGGTTACGTCTACAGGTCACAACTTCGTCATAAGGTGAAGCGTTGAAATATGAAAGTGAAAAGTTTACAGATGTTGTACACTGAACGGTGTTGAAAACATTTACCCATAGCATTACATCGGTGTAATAAACAACTTAGTGAGTAATTTTCTAATTCTATTTCTTTATAAGCTTGTTCTTGAAGCTAAATGCAGTCCTCAACAAAACTGAAGACACCGAATATACTAAATTAATAGACCCCCATTGCCAGTTGGTTGGAGGCAATATCTAGGAACCTTGGACGTAGGTCCTGTGCTTATTGGCACTCATCATCAAGACGTATCAGCAACCTTGACGGGAGTGAAGTCCCGCTTGCGGTGCAAACCCATGCCACCCAGTGTCGTAGTCAGTGACGTTATCGATGAGCTAATCGGATCCCGACTGTTTAGTCCTGAGTGATGACCAAATTCTATCCATCATTTTGCAGTGTGGCTACCGAGCTAATAGACTCACCATCACAATGCACTGAGATAGATGTTAGTTGCATGTGAGCAATCGACAGGAAGCCACTCTGTGAATAAAAATCTATGAATTAGTCGGTGTATGAAAAGAAATGGATACTGTTGACTAATTTAAGATAATCGATTGGAAATCAGCAACGAAATAATCGCATCATCTATGATAAAAGAAGCATACTTATGCAACGTTTACTAACTTTTGTTTAGGTGGACATTGAGGGAATGGTTATCGACTGTTGAGGATTGATGTTCCTCAGTTACACTTCATATGATGACTTTTTATGAAAAGGCGGTCAAAGTTAGGAAACATTGGCCATTGCACTCCCAGATAGGCAGACAGAAAGACGGATAGACAGAGAGGTAGGTGAACAAACAGGTTTGACTACATTGTAATGAATGTCACTTAGAAGTGTGACAGCATACTATAAAGTACGATATCAATTTTTTTTTCCCTTGGATCCCTAGTCGAACATAGGGCCTCAGTAGCACGCATCCATTTCACTCTCTTCTCTGCAGTCATTTTCTTTAATCTGACTCCATGACTGCCAGAATCTTTCATTTCTTCCTCACATGATCTCCTCCATGTCACCCTCAGCTTGGACACCCAACTCGTCGTTTCCCATTTTGGCTTCCACTCCGCGGCCTGGCCTGGTGCTTGAACTCTTCGAGTGGTTTTCTTAGTGTATGCCCAATCCATCTCCATTTTTTTCTACTGCATATTGTTGAGTGATAGGTTCTTGGTTGGCTCGTTCCCAGAGTTCCTTGTTGTTTATTCTTTCTGGCCATCTGGTCTTATCTTCAAAATCGAGTGAGCATAGGTGGCAGCTGTTGATCAATGTCTGTAGTTTGTTGGAAATGCTTTTCGTGAAACGCCAAGTTTCTGAACAGTATATCAGCACTGACTTGACATTGGTGTTGAAAATCTGGACCATGTTCTTTGTGCTGAGCGCACTAGATCTCCACATTGATTTCAGATTCATGAAAGCCTGTCTTGCTTTTCCGGTCCTAGTTTTGACATCCTCGTCTGTGCCGCCTGTGGTTGAAACGATGCTGCCCAGTCGGGTAGGCGAAAGAGACAACTTCCTTTAGGTTTCTCCCACTCATGGTGATTAAGGCCTCCTGTTGTTGATGCTGTTGTTGGTTGGATACCTTCATCACCTCTGTCTTCTCTACATTCACTAGAAGTCCCATTTTTCGCTGCTCTGCCTCTTCTATCAACTTGTCAGTTTTCGCCTGTAGGTCTTCGAGTTTGTGCAACATTAAACATAAATAATCGGCGAAATCCAAATCTTCTAGGTTCTTTTCATTGGTCAAACAGCGTATGCCCATCATCTCGCTCCTCATTGTTTACTGCATGATCCAGTCTAGTCGACGACAATCAGGAACATCATGGGTGATAGTAGGTGGCAGCCTTGTCTTACTCCTGTCTTCACTTTGAAGGCTATTTATGATAGAAGAGTTCTGCTTATTGAGTCCCCGGCTCACGTTTTCCTTTTCCTCTTTCAGGTTCTTATGGTCATCGCAAAACTTACACTTTTCTACGTGCCTCCCCCCACCCACCCCCTTGGAACAACGCACTTATAGACCATACATGAGCCTACCAACAGCCGTTCGTTACAGACTGATGTTTGTTGATGACATTGAATGATGGTGATATTTCATAAAGACATGACAACAGTAGTTAAATATGGGTATACTATTGAATTCTACTCCAAATGTATGCTTACTTCAACATGAAGGATGAGAAATGTGCTACACAATGTGATCTAGAAAAACAATCAAAAAGATATCGGTTCTGATCAATGTTTGTTATCATCTATGGTCACGAAGTCAATTAGTCTCACGGAGTCTAACTAGACAGTTTGAGTCATCGACAAGTGTTAACCTAATGCAAGAGTTCTCCATTTTATGGCGCTACATCATATACTTGCCACCTCTCCACTTTATTCCATCATTTCAGCAGCAAAATAAAAACAGTGAACAATATGCAAACAGTTTTGATCTGATTCACAACAGACTACTAAAATCACTACTACAAGATGACTTCCTTAGACAATGCAAACATCCATCATACCCAGACACAAGCCACTTCACCTCATAGATACTTCTCAATCAATCAATCATTATCAACATAGGACCAGGCATTACTGAATAACGGTCCGAGTTGCCACACCTCATATCACTACATCAAGTAGAAAGGTAGTGAGGAGGAAGATGAAGATAAGAGAATGCAGTCAAAAGAAATATAAAGTACGAGAAGAAAGAAAAGAGGAATGACAAGATGGTGAGATTCGGTATAGCGTCGTTAAGATGAGGATAATGTGTGTATACATCTCCACCATTGACATCAGTTCTCAGCCATATCCCCTAGAATCTCCAATCACTAGTAACTCTTGTGCTGCGGTCCCCAACCACCTAGTCTGCATCGCCCTACATGGCTTAAACCAACAGTCAGAAACTTCATACATTGGTGCCATGTTTTAGTCTGGCCACCTCGAGCCTTTTTCCAGTCTGGACCCACCTCAGCCAACATTGTGTGACGAGGCAATCGGTGACTGGACATACGTAGTACGTATCCCAAACATCTCAGTCGATGAAGGTTCGTAACCTCGTCAACTGACTTGCCTCTTCTCCCTAAAACTCTACACCTGACTTCTGCATTACTCACATGGTGACACCACGGAATGCGTCCTATACTATGAAGGCAATGGTGGTCAAACATCCGAAGCCTTTTTATATCTTCCGCTTTCAGTGGCCATGTTTCACAGCCATACAGTAGAACAGAGCGGACTGCTGTGCAGTACACGCGACCCTTAATAGACAAACGAATATCACGGCGGCGCCATAGGTGGCGGAAATTGGCAAAAGCCAATCGAGCCTTTTGTATCCGTGCAGAGATCTCATCGGCACTTAACCCACCAGGGTTGATCCTACTACCCAGGTAAGTGAGGTGGTCAACACACTCAAACACTTCACTCTCTATTGTTAGCCGCAGTACTGCTGAAGACCAGTCCTGGAGCAAAAATTTGCATTTGGGTGGTGAAAATCGCATCCCAAACATTCTCTAGTTCCCACTCAAAGTGTTCAGAAGACTCTGCACCTTGTCAGCGTCTTCACTTAACACGACTATGTCATCTGCATATTCTAGATGGTTCCATCAAATATAGACCATTTTTTGAAAATAAAGAATATTCAACATTGGATATCCTCAGAGTGAAGAGGTCAGACTTCACACATGTAGTGTAGAACTGCTTGGATTGATTGATTGTGAACCATTAAAGTTACCCACGACACAAAACCCACTAGTCTTTTGCTCAATTTCACAAGTCCTGTTGGAGGTATGCGCCGTTATGAAGTTCGCATCTAAAATGAAGTAATTGTCTAGTAGTCTGTGCATTTCAGTGGTTCTCCAGCTGATTTGAAGCCATGATGTAAGCTGTTACCTTCCTGATAAACAGTGGATAACTTGTAAGGAGACAGATAGACACTGAAACAAATAAATAGGTGAAATCTTTTTGCAGAAACGTTATATAACAGCTAGAGATCAGATTGGAAATCAAGTATTTCTTTGGCAACAAAGAAAGCCAGCTGTGACTAAAAATTCAATCAGCGTTATGATTGACAAGTGTATTCTGAAGGCTTTGGAGGTATCTACGTAACACTCAATTCTTATCTAGTTGTTGGACTTGTTAAAACTTTTCTCTCTTTTCAAGATACTCAGGTAAAAGCGAATAGATGGTCTACTCTCAGTCCTTCGCGTGTAATTACTTACACACATACGTATCAACTGATGAATACAGTTGGAGTTGATTTACTATGTAGTTCTGTAAGGTAATATCAACCTAGCAGAAGGAAGGTATTTTCAATGCACCATTCATTCTTTTATTTGTACAATATAATAGAAGCCGCACTGCATATACAGTCTCTAATTATTGATGCCCAGCTTTTAACTAAGCTTATCAGATAGTTTTTTACCATTCTTTATATAACTGAAACCGATACCAGACAACTTCTTCAATTGACACCTTGCTATAACCATGGGTAAAATGTGGGCCGCCCACAGGATTTGAATCGGTGACCGCTGTTCATCGCCAAGTATCAGTACAAGTCTGCCAAACCACCACTTTCTGAGATAGTCAAACTGATTATAAAGTAGACAAATATGTTTGGAAGGAGATAGAAGTAATAAAAAAGGAAGTTTCATGAAAGTATTCAAACTTTCAAAGATCCCTAACAGTAAATATATCTGCTCCATTCTAACTTATTCTCACCCATATCAACAAGAGTCTCCAGGTAGTCTACACCTCCCTGCATGGTTGACACTAACACCTAAAGACTTCATGAACTGGTCTATGTCTTGGCCTGGTCACTTCGACACATCTTCCAAACACAATTCTACTTCGGTTAACATTTCGCGTCCAGATAAGCCGGGGGCTCAGCATGTACAACACGTATCCAAGCTACCTTAGTCGCATAACCACCCAAGTAGATAAATCGATACACTTTGAACAAGTCACTTACCTTCATTGTCTATAGCCTTGTTCTGACCATAGGTTACCAACACTCATGAATAAAATACTTTTATTCAATTTTTCAATTTTTCTTATGAAACAGTTGACTGATAATAGCAGTGCGGTTAAAGAATATTGTTCATAGAACAACGAAGGTCGAAGGACACTACTTAACCAAATTAGTTTGATGTTGGAAGCCACTTGACAGGAAGTCTTATTAGACCTAGTTTTTATGCTTGTCCAAATTTATCATCAACAGATATCTGTAATTATAAAGAAATTGATTTCTCCTCAGTGATTCACATCTTCTCAACTCAATCCTGAAGTCAGACATTTTCCCCATGATCTAATCAGGTGATGATTGACCAATAGCAGAACTGGATAATGTGCAGTGAGTGATTAGTGTATCCATCTAGTCTTTTGTGCTGAGCACTGATGAAAGTCTATCGAGCAAGTATGTTATTCAGTGCGTACTAAGGAGTAGAAAAATGAATCGTTTTACCCCCTGGTGAAGTTATTTAACATGCTATGTCTGACATTAGTAAACCTCATCTTCTATAACGAGTATTTATCATACGTTAAACCCTCAGATAAAATGTATTACTCGTTTTGAGTTAAACAACCAAATGATAAACACTTCATGATTTGGTGGGAAGCTATCAGTCTCGAGGTCACATCTTAGTGAGAGTAACCACTCATATGCATTTGACGAGTCCCAAATAGGGTGAAACGTACGTCTCGTTTACTATCCACCACTGAAATAACAGGTAATGTCAATGCATTCGCACAACGATCCCATATACCAATAGAAATTTGTCACTTAGGTCCAATCAACGACAGGGATAATGCAAGCAATGTCATACAACTCTGAGTGTTTAATTAATTTGTTTGCATCGACAACGAACTTGAACGCAAGAAACCGAAATGACTGCTGTGGGTTAACACACTATGAACTTGTTTCTAACCATTGCTAGTAGTGTACAACTGATTGTTTTAGTTCTTTATTATAAGCAAACAAAACAACGTCAAACTATCAGTTGGAGTGGACCCGTTAACTTTGCCAAAATATACATCATAATAGCAAGCAAAAGTGTATATAAACACCAAGACATTAAAATAGAGTAGTGTACATATAAGAGAATAGAGAGGTTAAATGTCCGAAACTTCGAGCCATGTCACTTGGAATCTTCAATCTCTTGGAGAATGTGAACCAGGTAGCCTACACTTTTTAACATATGTAAAACCGACAGTTAGATACTTCATGAGTGACTACCTGTCAAATTATAGTCTTATCATTTCAAAGATTTTTTGAAATTAATCCTACCAAGAATCAAGATAGTTTAGTGATTTGATTGGTCAAACATTTGTCTAAGCCAACTGATTCAGGGAAGTTTCACAACTTCATGAACTAAATAATTTTTATATCTAGTGATCCACACTTATCATCACCACTATTCAACATGTCTTTTGAACTCACAAAAAAAACAAATCTGTAACCTTTTTCATCTATTCCACATTCAACAATTTGTCTTATAGTTTCAGAGTAGAACAGAATGGGTTGTGAAGTAGTTGACTGAATTATTAAAATGATGCAAGTGATAAATAGACTTTTTAAATCCATCCTGAAAATGATTTTTAACTAAACTATTAGCCTAACACAGCTTCGTATATAGTGAAATAAGTGACATATTCAACCATTTCAGTCTTTATTGTAAAGCTAGGCAGATTTAAAGACTAATTTTGAAGACCTGTTGAATGTTGAAAGTGTTCAGAAATACATGTGAAACACGCCGATATTTTTCCCGTTGAGTGTTTGGAAGACTTCGCGTTTTAATAATATCTTCATTTTAACAGGACCACCTGTGTACTCCTCATCAGACAGTAAAGGAAAAAAAAGTGAGGAGTCAGACATAAACAGAAGATAGGTGAAGAAGTTGAAAAGGAATACTGATTGCTATGTATTATCTCTTCCTACTGTAGGCCAAGATGAGCATAATGGATACACATATTTCCTTTCAGAACTTGGGTCACCAGGCCTAGTATGGGACTACTTAGCAGTATCAAAAAAATCTCTGTTAACCTCAAAATCTATTTCGAACATGGTGCTTATTAGCGACATACTTCAGGTTGACGGAAATGTTAGCTAGTACATGGAAATCAAATGCAATCCCCTCTGACTGGTCTAAATCACTGATTATCACAGTCTTCAAGAAAGGCGGGAAGTTCTCTTGTGATAACCACAGAGGAATCAACCTGATGAACATAATATCCGAAATTCTAGGTTCCATAATTCTTCGACACCTGAGTAGAACTCGAGAACAATAAGCTCTAGAAAATGAGGCAGGCTTTAGACCCTGCCGCCAGTGTGTTGACCAAATATTTACACTGGGCCAGGTCCTAGAATACAAGCACAATTACCGACGCCTGACAATAGCTGTGTTTCTCGACCTGAAGGCGGCTGCATTCAACTCCGTTGGTAAAGAAGTCTTATGATGATGTTTCTCACTGAAAGGCGTGTCTAGTAAAGTACATCACCTTATTGAACGATCTTAACTAGAACACTTCTGTGCATGTTATAACCTATGGTGAGATGTCCGGGGAGCTGTACTCATCAAGTGGTGTCCGTCAAGGGTGCCCACCCTCTCCCTTCTTATTCGATTTTATCATAGATATTTTTATGCAGGCCTCCCTCTCGTCACCTGACTACACAGAGGTTGACCTAATCACAGGAGAATTTTTGCAAGACCTAGCATATGCAGATGACATAGTCCTGTTAGGTGAAGACGCTGACAAGATGCAGAGCCTTCTAGACACCTTGAGTGGCAATTTGAAAATGTTTGGATGCATTTCTCCCCATCCAAATGCAAATTGTTCCTCCAGGATTGGTCTTCAACGGTGCCACGGCTAACAATTGAGAGTGCAATGGTTGAGTATGTTGACCATTTCACTTACCTGGAAAGTAGGATCAGCTCTCATGGCTCAGCGGCCGACAAAATTTCTGCACGAATACAAAAGGCTCAGATGACTTTTGCTACATTAAGCCACCTATGACATCGCTGTGATATCCGATTGTGATTTAAAGGTCAGCAGGTACTGCACAGCAGTCTACTCTATTCTACTCTATAGTTGTGAAACATAGCCTTCAAAAGGAAAAGACACGAGAAGGCTTCGGATGTTTGACCACTGTTACCTTCAAAGTATAAGCCGTATTCCGTGGTGTCATCACGTGAGTAACGCACAAGTCAGGTGTAGAGTTTTAGGGAGAAAGAAGAGGTAAATCAGTTGACACAGTTGTGAACCTTCCTCCACTGAGATGCTTGACTCCAACTTGTCTTAGGTATGCTTCATGGCCATCTGCCTCGTCACACAATGTTGACCGAAGTAGGTTCAGAGTGGATAAAGGCGGAAAAGGGAGGCCAGACGGAGACATGGCATCAATGTGTGAAGTCGTTGACTGTTGATTTGAACCATGTGGAGCGATGCAGACTAGGTGGTTGGGGACCGCAGCACAAGAGTTACTAGTGATTGGAGATTCTAGGGGATATGGCTGAGAACTGATGTCAATGGTGGAGATGTATACACACATTATCCTCATCTTAACGATGCTACACCGAATCTCATCATTCTCTCATTCTTCCTTCCTCTCTCTTCATACTTTACATCTCTTGTGACTGAATTCTCTTATCTTCATCTTCCACTTCACTGTCTTTCACTTGATGTAGTGATATGGGGTGTGTACCAAGTTAGACAGTTACTCAGTAATGCCTAGTCCTATGTTGATTTAGTTAGATGACTTCTAGATTCATATTTCAAAGTTCGGGACCCATGGGCTCAACCAGTCGAAAGTGTAGCGGATGTTAAAATTGAAAATCTTGATCAATAGTCACGATATACTGAGAGTTAAAAGAAGTACCAAACCATGAATCATTGAATTCTAACCTAGTCGTTGAATGGTTAACGTATTCCCGGTGAAATCTGAACGTCTTAGGTCTCATCACTTGCAGAGTCAGGTGATGGGTGCGTACAGCTGAAGAGTCCTATACTGGGACGAAAAAAATAACTAAATAATACGTTTAAAAAAGTTGCAGATAAACTTAAGATAATTTATCCTTAAATCTACAACAATACCTTAAACTGGCTGAATGAATCATCATCAGCAGAATTACACAGGTTATTCCAGACTACTAGCCATTCACCACATATTAATATTGTTATTACTAACTTTATTAATAGATCAATATAGTATAATTATTAAAATAAGAAGAAGATCTGCCTACCTTTGTCAATGTAATTGGACTATATCTCAATGTTACATCATAGACAATTCCTAATAAGCCTAAATTTGAAACAGCTGCTTTAATCTCCTCTTCACTTGAATATTCAATTAAATCACCATGACAATCAACTATACGAATAGTAATCACTTCATCAGTTAAACAACTACCAATTGCATTACTATTTGGTCCAACTATTCCTGATTGTGTAGTTACAATTGATCCAACAACTGTTCCATATAATGAACAAGTATCAATTGATTGATTAATTTCAATATTATGACTTATTTGATAATTGATTAATTCATTTATAGTAACACATGATAAAATTTTTAATCCTTGTATTTCTTTTATTTCATTCTTACGCTTTATATTAACAAATTGTATTCTTAATGAATCTGATAATTCTGTACAATCAATTAATACAGTTTTATATTTACCATATATATTTATATTATAAGATGATTGTTGACCACATCCACGTACAATTAATTTCATTGTTCTTGCTGCTCTAATAGTACGTGATATTTCACTATATGATTTTGGTTTAACATATAACATATGTATTTGTTGACTAGATGAATTCTTTAATATGAATGTATAATTTTCAACTTTTGGTAGTATACCAATACGTTTTTGTAATTCTTTACCAAGTTGTATTATTAAATTCATATCAGTATCATTATTATTATTGTTATTATTATTTCTGTAGAAATTATTACTTCCGGTTGAATTATTGAACGGATTTTTGTTTAAATGTATCAATTCCATGATTTAAAATTAATTTCCCGCCTAATTTAATTTCATTGACTAAGATGACTTCAATTCTTTGCTTTCTATCAATTTAAATTATTCCATTTAATGAAATTTAAACAGTTAGACAAATATAAGTTTAATGAGATAATAATAGTAATGATAATAATAAAACAGATATTTATCTGTATATTTATTCGTGAAATAGCCACCATATTATTATTTTTCTCATCATAAAGTTGTTTATTTACTGTCATTATTGTTATTATGTTTATTTTATAAATAACAACTTTAAGGTGCTGCCACTTACAACTAAGTAAGCATGCATATATACAACAGATAAGCTCTTTTTTTAAAACTAGTAAACGACCGCCAAAAAATCAATAATATTGATTAATTTTTAAATTAAGATATTCTGGTGATGTGTGTAGATGATGCATTGTACTGTATTGAAATTGCAATGTATTGACGATTTCTTTACACAATCCAATTCGCTTACAAGATAGAAAATGAACACAAAAGAAAGACGGTGGTTTGAATACTACCGTCTACTGGAAACCAAAACATTCTATAATTTATTATAAAATTCTTATGAACAGATAAGAAATGAAATAATAACAGTAAGATAATTTATGAGGAATAACAACAACATGAATAGAAAGGAGTTCACAGCCTCTATTGTCCTACCATATAAGGAAAGAAAAAAATATCGGAAACTTTACATGGAATCGTCAATATAGGCTGTGTCAGCTGACTTAAGGATTCGATAGAACCAATTAGCAAAATAATCTAATCTATCAAATTCCATGTAATGACTATGAGGTCAAGGTACGTAGGTGAAACTAGCCAATCGGGGTCAGTTAGAATAGCTGAACATAGGGATTTAGCTAAATATAGAATGATAACCCAAATAAGATCAATAATCTAGAAGGGAACTCGGTTGTTGTAATACACGCATAATAACACACAATCACACAATAGAGTGGGATAAAGTCGATGTATTCAAGTCCAATATAATTAGGTGGAGAGAGAGAGAGAGAGATTGACTACTGAATCTTTGTTCATCGAATCAACACCCAACAGATGTGACGCAACATGTATACCAGAGATATGGAGAATTTTACTACCAATAAAAACAATGAATATGAGATTGGTGACAGAACTATGTAAATCAGATGTTGAAATCTACTTGTGTGAGATTACGTTGAGATGATTATGAGGAATAAGTAATTAATGCTGGAAATGTCATCAAGTAAATAGTCTATCACTCAAATAATCAAATCTAATATGGAATTGACTAATTATGCATTTCATAGTATGGTAAGTTAAACAATAAACTTTTTGGATAATATAAATGGGATTGTTGATATTGGGTAATGGCTAGTAGTGGAATCCAGGGCACGTATTTCGTCCTACATAGGACTCGTCAGCCGTGTGATGTTGTTTCCAGCTGGACTCAGACTGGGTACCGACTCACTGCAGCCTGGGTACAGTCAAAGATGAATTCTGCCACCAGTTGTACAAATTCCGCTACCAGGTAAATCCATAAGATATCGTAGTGTTAATTAGGGACTTCAATGCACAAATCTGGTGTCTGGATCCAAAATGAGGTTGTTTAGGGGAGTAATGGGGATTATTCAGTTACAGATTAGACAACAAGAAACATATTCTGCGCTTTTGCACAGAAAATAATCTGCTCCCAACCAGCACCAACTCCCGGTACAGCTAGTTTCCCTCTGCCTATAAAACCTGAACTCAAACATCCCCTACGGATAGCGTGACCCTATTCAGGACTACTGCACCATCTGTCAGGATTATAATCGCGTTTAGTTTCTGCTAAGTTCGCCTTGAATTTTGGTGGTCACCGAAATCGTCGTCGAAAGCTGATCAGCATAATCAAACTGGTTGCACATGCTATCGCAGTTAAATACCTAACCGAACTAGATTTAAGGTCAGTTATCGAACTTTCAGAAAGTTTGTATGAACATTGACTGCGCTTACAAGATGTCAAGAAAATGGTGTGTTATGCTACTTGTGGCTTTGAAGAAAGTCTGGTTGTTAAGTATAGGATCTCTGTGAGTTCTCTGCAACTTCTACTGCCTAGTCGGTGTAGTTCAGCATGCAGTGAGTAAAGTGATGTTTGCAAGTTCCTTACGAGACAGATCAAGCAGCATTTGCGAAAGGATCTAGAGGTTTCACAGTTAGAACGCGTAAGATAAAAGCTGCAGCTGAACAGAAAAATAGTTGGAAGCTGTTGCAACTCACCTGAATCATTTGCATCAAGGAACTTGATGTTAGTGAGATGATCTTGGAAGTAGATGGTATGCAAACCACTACTATTGACAGACACCTGTAACGCTACGCGGTGCACTTTGTAAAGTAGTTCAACTGCCTTACTTCTTCGATAACATTGACGTCTATGTCTTGTGCTATATGGCCAGGTAACACCAACCCACCTAGTGAAGCGAGGCTTTGTGAACAACTGAGTTCTAAAGAGCATTAAGGCACCCGGTTAGCACAACCTAAACTCTGCTGTTTGTATGCATGCAGGTGAAGGTGTGTTCAGGGAATCAAATACATTTCTTGTGAAGATATGGTAGACTGAGTGTTTCATCATCCTGGGATTAATCAATCGTTGAACCCACCGTTTAATCAGTGTGTGACAAATTCATCGGGGTTTCAGACTGCTACTGGTAGCATCGAAAATATTGAGTGTTACCTCACCAAAGCATATGAAAAACGGATCCGCCAGGAGTCGATCAGGTTTTATTCAGGTCGTGAAAATATTGATCACGTGTTCACCCTTTGTTAAATGTCCAAACACCATCGTAAGTATTGCAAGCCAATCATCACTGGGTCTTTCTTTGATTCACTAGACGGCTTCGTGATCTGAGATCGTCTGTTAGAAAGAGGTGTTCGTGAAACCACTTACTTCCATTGGAATGAGCATATACACTCACCTCTTTCCATTGGTTCAAAATAACTGTGAAGGTGAACAGGTCTGTCCAATTTTGAAATTCCTCTTTACTTCGGTCATCAACGGCATTCCAGAGACAACCCTGAAGGAAATGCGTGGTGGTGTTGGTGGTAGTGTAGCCTTGTTACTAAATGAAAGGGCTTTCAAACCTCGATTATGTGGATGACATTGTTCTACTGCGTGACAAAATACAGTCTACTCAAATCACACTAAATCAGTTGGTGATAACTGCTAATATATGTGTAATGTTCAGGTGATAATTCCATAATCTATTGAAAATGTGTGAGTTCACTCTGTAAATGACTCTGAAGAAAGATTCTCGTAAACGTGAGTAACCAGAATTAACCAAATGTTCATGAATGGAGCTATTAATCGACGTCCACTTTCTTCTAGACAGGGATGCAAGATAATGTTTGGAGATGCACTTAAACAGAACATAGTGTGTAGTCTATGTAACCAACTCTACAGGGGCAGGCGAATTAGTAGACACAGTCAGCAGTGGCATCCTATCCACAACACACCCTCGAATCATCTGTACACTGGAGGTAACAACATAGATTTGAGTTGAATATCTCTTTTAAATCCAAGAATCATAGATACTATCCTGTTCCAAAGTGTAGGAGTTGATCACTTGTGTTGTTTAGGCATATCAATGAATCTTGAATGGTAATCATTTTGCATTGCCAATATACGGAACCTTTCCAGCTCCTCAGTTATTGTATCATCTCTACCAATTCTTTCAATAATTATTCCTAGTGAGTGTGAATTAAATTTCTCTTCCTGCTTTCCTTTTATATTTCAGTAACAAAAGAAATGAGAAAACTATAGTATGATTGTGTACAGTTTAGACTCTGAATTATGTCTGTTATTGTCTCAAGTCACCATTGAGTTGCATAATTTCATGTATTCTATCTAGGGAATCATGAGCCATATAAAGATGTTAATCGAACAGAAAATATCCTCTTCACTCATCCTAATCAGTTCTATGATGAGAGAACAGTGTGGGAACCGCTAGAAGATGATATGCGTAATACATATCCGGTGTTTCATGGATCACCCTCACTTACTTACATGATGTTTTCATTAAATGTAACACACAAATAATTATCCTTCACACATCCTACAGTGCATAGTTATAAAATTATTGTTCTCTTCACTTTCCGTTTTAACCCACTCCAATGCTAATGAACAATATGGAAACCGGCTGAAATACCATAACACAACTTCTGTTAAACTGTTCATGTGAAACAAATATATACTTCTTCCATTTTAGTCTGTTTATTAGAAATATCACACACAGTGAAGAAACGGGTAGCATTTACTGGATAACCATGTTTGGACACAATTTATTGTCCATATTCATATCAGATAACGTCGAGATAGACTTTATATTATTCCTAATTCTCTCTCCTTCTCTGTGATGACAAGGGTAGTAGAATGTTCCATATATATGGGACAGGTGCACTGATGATGAAGACATCATTCTTTGGGACTGACTGCAGTTCTAGTTTTGACGCTCTGCTAATTTTGTCCTGCCTGATAAATGTTGATGGACTTAAATTTTGTGTTCCTCGAAAGCAGTCATCAGATTTGGCTACCCATGCACAGTTTGAAAACCTATACAACCAGTTGAAACCTCTCGTCCCAACTTCAATTGAGGACCAGGGATGGCTGAAAGCCAAGATGGTGGATATCGCCCACCAGTTTTGTGATAGCCATCAGAACCAGAAAAGCATTCTAACTTCTGAACATTTCAGAGCTATGAAGGAACTACGAGAGAACCCTGATATTATTATCCTCAGACCTGACAAAGGCTCAGGTGTCGTGATCATGGATAAAATCGAATATAAGTGTAAAATGTCATCGATTCTTGAAGATGAAAATAAATTCACTAAGGATTGTTCTTCAGAAGACGTACAATTGTTACAGGGAACTGTGACCGCTAATCTAGTGAAACTGCTCGAAATGAACGTCATTACCAGTCAAAAATTCGCCCTACTGAAACCAACTGAATCCCGATTCCCACATCTTTACGGTTTGCCCAAAGTACATAAACCCAACAACCCCTTACGTCCCATAATGTCAATGTGTAAGTCGCCAACGCATAAGCTTGCCCAGTGGCTAGTGGAGTTATTGGATCCCATTAAGAAGCAATTTTGTAAGTATTCCTTAAAAGATACATTTGAAGTAATCAAATGCCTTGAGCATGTCAACATAAAGAGTAAATTTATGTGTTCATTTGATGTTAACTCATTATTTACCAATGTCCCTTTGGTCAAGACAATTGACATTTTATGTGGTTATATTTCTGTGCATAAGTTTCCGATACCCATTACTTTGGATCACCTAAAACAGCTGTTACTTTTA